ATCACTTTGTAGTACTTAGCCTGTAGTCTGAATTTGGTTGATCAAAACGACTGTAGCATGTGTGGCATCCTGGGTAAAGTTCCCTTCAAAAAAAAAAAAAAAAAAGAAACAATATGTCTTTGAAACTATACATTTTATTCACAGTATTACAAATGACTTGTGGTTTATTTGGTAGCATCACATAATTGTGTCACTGAGATGGTGGAAGACCCACTCAGGCAGTGACATGATATCACTGACGTGACATGCAAATGAGTGATAGAACACTGATCGTGAAAATGTCACCACCGCTGTGAATTTTTTGTGTGGGTGTGCTGTGCTCTCCTCTGGCAGGATGCCACCCCGGGCAGCTGCTCATGTATCTAAATCGTCATCTGGATCACAACATATATTCTCACACTCAAACTGGCTCCTGTTTTTGTGTCGACCATGCTTAATACATTTCCTGCACTTTTCAATGTTGCACTACTGCTTATTTTAATATTATACTGCACCATCTAGCACAAGCTTATTAGATTTCGCAAGTTGGGCTACTGTTTTGTCAGTGATGTGTTCATGCCCTTTAAGCCCCTATTCATCCACACAGCATGACCCACAGTATGATGACATAACAATGACATGGCTGGTGTTTCACAGCATGACAACTGGTCTACAGAGTAGTCATGACATCATTCTTCTTTACAACTCAATCTGATAATAATACACATGACAGACTTGTAGCTTCCATCACATTTGACCAAACTATTGGAACTTATAAGTTAATGTAGCACATTTTGAATAACAAAAAATAAATATGTACCTGATCTAATTAGTTCTTCTTGTAAGCTTCATGCATTTGATGATCCAAAGAAAATACTTTTGTGTTAGTGCTTTCTATAAGAGGTGTTTACATAATTATATCAGCCACATTTGGTGTTGGTAGTGCTCAAAGGAGTGTTACACATATAAAGTTTAGCTGTTTGCTGAAGATTATATGACAATAAAACTACTTAATTGAATCACATTGCTTTATTACTCTCTTTGAAAAATTTTTAATTAGTTTGGTGCATAAATTCTGACAATGGAATCGAGACCAGCAAAGCACTACGCTTGTTGCTATAGAAACCATGCAAACAGAGAAGCACTGATGAAGTGTGTGGGTACAAGAAAGTCGTACTGTATCTGATCTCACCCTCCCTTTAACAAGAACCTAAAGCAGCGTAAACACAAAATACCTAGCACTGTTTCTCAAGGTTACAGGGCATTAGACTGAGACTGATGCTGAGGCTTTACTCTAGTGTTGTTGAGCCATGGCAGCCAATATGGGATGCACATTTTGATCTAATGTCAGGACTAACAACACAGTGCATAATAACAGGTAGTAATTATAAAGTAATCATATGTATAGAGGTACATGAACACACAGTTTCATCGAGTATTGCAGTCCAGTGTGTTACTCAGTTTTCTAATGGAACACATTATTTTATTACCTAACAAAAAGAACCATTGTGTTTTATTGTATATTGTTCAGAGAGAGAAACACATGCAATAAAATTAAATGTTTTTTTTTTTTTTTGGATAATTGGCACTTTAAAAGCATAACCATACAAATGAATATTTCAATATCAAAAACAATATTTGGCTGTGTGTGCTTTTAATTCCTTCAAAATGTACTATAGACTTAACATATTAATGTACAAATTGGGTTATCCTTCCTTCAAGGTCTCCAGCCTTAAATTAATATGGCATATTTGGCAAGGAAACCAGAATGGCTTTTAAAGAATTTAATAAAAAGCATCACTGATGAAATTAGCTAATGCCCATTGACATTTTATCCTGAGCATTATAAGAATAACTGGATCCAGTGGTCATATTTCCTAAGGTTTCTGATGCTGCCATCTGGTAGATTTCAATTTGATTTGCAAGAGAAAAGTTAGCCAAAGGTCAGGTGTGGCACCAAGGTTTTATTCTGAGACGAGCAATAATGTATTTATTCTCTATTCGGGGAAAACCGGCTGAATTATTTGCTCACTACCTTTGTTTTTCTTTCCTAAATTTTACCAGCAAAGTATTTAGTGAGGTTATTGGCCAACTCAGACTGATAAGATGATAAAGTATATTCTGATCTCCAGTAAACAGTTGCATGTATTCACACAGCAAACAGCAATTAGGCACATGGGGCCGATGCTATCTGTCATATCTGCACTGTTTAAATCTTACGTTTTCTACACACTAGACAAAAATGAGTACAAGGCATTTTGGTTGTTTTATATCACATGTCAGCTATAATGATATAGGCCCACACAGAAGATTCCAGCAGACTAAAAAGCAGTAGCCGTATGTCTCAGTGAACCCACGAGAACAGCAGTCTGTGAAACAAAGCAGCCTTCACTTTTATGTCTTTTTTTCTCTCCGAGGTTGTTGGTAAACTTGCAATAGATTTGCCATTAAGATGGCAGCAAGAACCATAGTTTCTGAACTTCTCAATCCATTTGAAGAATTCTAGCTGGTGTATAATGGTAGGGAAGCTGGGCCTTTTATATGCAATGCTGTTGCTCAAGAATGGGAGAAAGTACTGAGTTTTTAGAATATTATTTATTTATTTTGTTCCTTTTAAAAATCTATTTTCTCATATAGTTATGCTTTAAACAACATGTTGTATTCCACATCTTGTTTACTCTTCAAAGTCACTATTGTTTTATTGTGATTAAACTAGGTAAGGTTTTATTTAACCGTCCCTGCCCACACTCTGCATTCAATTACAAATGCTGTTTGGAATCACATACTTAAACAACACAATATAATACTAATTTGCAATATCTGTTTTTTTGTCTCACTGTTAGTCATTGTTAAGAAAGTAACAGTAGGTTTGTTTGAACAGAGAGAAGAATTTCAACACTTTTTTTGCTTGTAACAGTCTTCGATTAGCCCTTGAAGTGCACTTCAGCTTCATGGTTAGCTGACTCTGACCCATCATATCAAAGATTTTGATAACTCCTCTGCAAACCTGATTCTAGAGACACTGCCTCACAGAAGATCCAATTGGTGGGCAGAAAAAAAAACCCATACACTCAGAAACTACAAAAATTACACAATATTTAGCCCTAATATTATATATTCAGCTTTTTGTTGAACATATGTTCGAAATGGGCAAATTCAAACCCCTCTGTGGTCATTAAATGGTTGTTATGATGTATGTATGGACTATAGTGATGGCTTTTAAGATGGCAGTGGCAGGATTAAGCTGAGTGCAGGACTGGTAATTAGCCAGGGGAATATCAATTTCACTTAAAATATGTCTGCAAGAAAAAAAATCAATGAGAGTCAGCTGTCACTCTGGCCCTGAAGTGAGACAGGAACATTTGAATGCCTTGACTTTATTGACTTGTACTGGTCTTCATTATGAATAAGAATGTTAATATGTTGCAAAAGCAGATGTGCAAATATTAAATTAACACTGAATCTCCTTGGCCAGCATTCCTGGCACATAACTTCTAGTTTATCAAGTCTTGGCAGGTAGAGCCAATAAGTTAATTCTGGACACTGTGACTTGGCAAATTCATCCAATACCATAATCATTAACTTCAGCCATCTTTTATGCTAATGTGTATATTGTGTAGGTTTTCAAATCACTTAGATGAAGATTGTGATTATAGTGCATAGAGTATTTTATAGTTTGTTGGCCTGTTTTTGTTTTTAATCCAAATTTTTGTCACAGATTTATGAATATCACATTCTCAGTTTCCATGGTTATGAGAGCAAGTAACACTCTTCTCTACTATTTATTTTTTAGTTAATGTACTAAGTGTACAGCTGACACATTTATGGAATGCATGATAGCTCAGCAGCCCATGAACATTACAAATAATTTGTGTAAGAGAGAATAGGAACAGAACCGTGTTTTGAAGGGGTTTTTTTTGGACGATTGTCTTTAATGTACTCTTCAGGTCAGTGTAATCAGCACAACAATAACAAGGAACAGGGATGAGATTTGTAAACCAGCGTATTGACTTTTCATGTTAAAGATCTGTGCTTCTTCTGTTCACTCCTAATTGTCTATATGTGTCTGCCTGTGATAGAAAATCAGTTCAGTCAAGGATGTTTCCTTACCTTCAGCCCAGTGCATGATTAGAGCCGATCTAGACCCCTTTACCAGACAGGCCTTGAATAAGAATGAGCCTGTAAAGGAAATGAGGGAACATATAGGACACTGTGTGTTTCAATTCTTGAATTAACGAGTTTCGAAAAGAAGTTTTGAAGCTTTTGACAGAAGAATAAGTTTCGTTATAGCCCACTGCCAATGATGTTAGAATTCAGAAATATCCATTTATTATGTTCGTTTGTCTTGTTTCCTTCCTCCCATTAGGGTTTTTATTCCATGTGCTTTTCTTTCAAGCATTTACAAATAAAACATGCTAAATATAACATACAAAAGAGTAATAATAGTAATAATGAATTACAAAAAATACCAGTACGCTCATAAATAAGGTTAAGGTGATTGTTTCTTTGTTATGAGAAGAAAAGGTGCAGTCATGCTGTTCACGTCAGCCCTTGTAGTAAAATAAATCTGCAATAAATTATCCACCAGTAACACTTGAGTCCAAGACAACACATAATTAACACCAATCACAGAAACTAAGGCAGCCTTATAGCTATTATTATTGCTCGTGTAAGCACATGCACCCATCCAGCCAGATAATGTGTCTTCATGGCAGAAGTAAGTGGAGAAATGACTTTAGGTTCACAGTGCAATAAAGACATATTTGTAATTATAGTCACACACATACACACAAACAAAAAAAAAAACCAGTCATGCAAACACTGTAAACAGTGTTACGCTGCGCATACACCATTTTTCAGTTGCTGTTGTCACGCTCATCTCACGCAACCATTAATCCTATTTTTATCAGTCCAGCTGTCTACGTTGCCTCCAGTGTCAGCTGGAGTATCACTTGTGCTTTATGTGTGTAACTGTGACCTGAAGCATATTGTTATGTTTCAGGTTGCAGGGTTACGCTCCAGAGACATCCAGCAAAACAATGAAATCTTCAGAGTCACAACCAGAATAGCAACAAAATACTGTAGAGAAACACCTCAATAAACACAGGTAAAACACATGATCTATCATTTGTTAATTCAATCCTACTGAACATACACTTTTTTAAAAATGTTGCAAATGTTTTATTTGGTTTCTTGTGTTTTAGCATGGAATTCATGATCCAGTTCTGCACAAGACAGAAAAGTGTTGTCTTCAGTTATTTTCAAAGTGTTCCTGTAGGTTCCTCTGTGCGGTTTCCTACACGAAGTGCTTCCGATGCGCGAGTGACAGGTAAGTGAATGCCCGTTCGGTATAAACATAAAAGCGAGTCTAGCTTAAGGTTCAAGTGAAATGTCCTGCACATGCTGCGCTTACACAGCATTAGAGTCAATTTGACCCAGGGTAATTAGGATGAAATACTACCATGTCAGTTTCGGGTAGGCAGTAGTGGTAGATGGAGAGCTGTAAAAAGTACCAGACATCAGAGAACAGGGTCGTGATCTCCTCCTAACATTCAGCACTGATGATGTAAGAATTTAATCACGATTCATGATTTCTTTGCCCAAATCTGAAAACAAGTGTGTGCAGGTCAGTGCAACATTCATGTAATCATTTTGGAAGGCACTGAAAAAAATAGAAAATGTTCTTTTTTATTAAGACAGACTGCTGGTTTTCAGAGTGAGATGTGTGTGTGCCTTTGTTTTACTTACATTATGGGGACCGAAACCTGTTAACACATTCACATTGTGGAGACTTGGCCATCCTTGTGGGGACCAGAGGCTGGTGTGTGTGTGTTGATGTAATGTCCACTTGAGGAGTAAAAACAAAGTGGTAATCAGCAAGTTAAATGAACTTAAGATGCTCTGGTTAAAGCAATTCTCAAGGGCAGAGTAACTGGTCCATCTTTCAGCACACAGTGTTTTTTGGGTTTTTTTTTCGCTTGCAGGTTAGATTATACTTGTTCTTTATCATGTGTCTGTGCTTTTTTTATCTCTATTCTTCATTTAGATGTTTCGACTCCTTTGCAAAATGCAGAAGGCAGGAAAAGTGAAACCAGATGTAGAGTCCTCAGCATCACAGAATTTGAGGTCATCCTTCAGAATAGTGCTATCTTGTCCTGATTTTTAATGAAAGCAAATGCCTTAATATGCAACAAGACACCAGGTGTGAAGGCAGTGGTAGATTCTAGAGGATAATATACAAGGTAAATATCAAAAAAATTAAATAAAACAAAAGAAAAAATAAAGGAAAAGGCCTCTGGGCAAATATTTGTTTTATACAGGTTGAGCCTCTGGGTCGCTGCTGGCAAGATACTCGACAAAATGACAGCACTTGGTTGGTTCTTTTGAGACTTCGAGGCCATTTGCCTTTATGTGACAGGTTGTGTATCCTTCTGACAGAAATGTTTCTTTTTTATCACAGTCAGTTAGGGATGAGATGTCTGACAGATCTGTCTTTTGTAATTTTAGATGCATTTGCATCCTTCTCAGTTCCCGTCTGGTCATTTACAGGTCAGCGACAGGTATGATGTAATTACCTGGTTGTCCTTCTGTGTACTGTCAGTGATGTTTACAGGTCATAGTCTGTAATATCTGCACCTACAGTACAGGGATCACATTTCCCCACCAGTCAAATGAAGTGACAACCACTCAAATTTCCTATTTGGTAAAAACCTACTGTATTCTGGTACACCAACAGGAACAATGTCTTTGACAATTGCATCCACTTGAGGTATGTTTTTAATCTCCCACTGAGAATGGAAGAGATGCTTATAAAAGGCCATCAGGTAAAATGTCAAATCACATACACGTAATTCAACTGCTTCTTCAAAAATCACAAGGTCCAGCACAACACAGACACAACACACAGAGTATGGTGCCATGAAGAACCACAAAAGTTGCATGAGGCTTGATGCACGAACAGCCAGATGCTTGAAAACTCCGTAGAAAGCCAAAAGCAGCTCTTAAATGGGACACTGTTGGCAGCAATGGTGACTATCCACCAGCAAAAAATGGTATCAGTGAGGCATTGTTCCTCAGAGAAACTCATTCTGTTCCTATGCTTCTGTCTTTCTGGGGACAAACACTACATTTTATGACCTGGCAAAGGTTCTGCAAATACCTCCCCTCCAGTGACTCACTTACACCCATGCCGTCAGCAATAAACAAGATAAACAATGTCCTGTAGCACAGTAGTATTTGCAGCGACATATGTGATTCACAGTAATTGGCAGTGATCATAAAATGCATATACACCTGCACCTGTAACAATGGCCTATAGCTTACTAATTGTTAACATTTTTATATTCTTATAGACAAATATGTGAAGATATACTGAACACCTTCAGTATCAGTAATCATTACCATTTAACAGCATACTTTCTAAATATGACCTGTTTGTACCCTTAAATGCACAAATTAAATGCTGTTGTAACTGTATATACAAATAAATAAATAAAACAGACTCATTAGTTGCAGCATATTGGATAATTTCTACACCGCTGTATCCATATATAGCCTGCTGGAGGTGGATGGAAAATCACCTTTCAGCAACCAGCTGCTACTCAGCACCTTACACTGTGCTCCAATCTTGCAGTGTGGATGATGTACCCTCTCAGTTTGACGTACTCGGATTCCTATCCTCCTACATGCATATTGTATTCATAAAGATGACGCATACGGATGAGTGCTCCAGACTGGCTTTTGCACATCTGTGTTAAAACCAGCAGGGAAGGGCTTGGATGTGTACATCAGGGAGACACACTATAGCCACTGTCACAGCTGTGGGCTGAGTCCCTTAGGGATCACTCCAGCAGTCACCCTGTAAAAGAGTGCCAGAGCACATCTGGGACCCAGCAGGTGCTCTGCAATCCCATGATAGATTGTTGTTTGCTGCTAAACCTTTGGACTGGTGTCCTTGCTCATCACTATGAAGTTTTACATTCTGCTTAGAATACACCTCAATCACCAGAATAAGGGACAGAAAATAAGAGGACATTAAATCCTCTAACAGCCAGTAACACAAGCAGGGGAGATGATAATTGGTGATGATAATTTAAGCTCTATCTTCAAAACTCTTACAACTGTATTTTATAACTATATATATACTGTATATACGTATATTTGCCTTTTTGTTACAATGAAATATGTAGTGTGCTGTCCCCTACCATCCATTTAGTCTAATACTATTGTGTCAGGAGTTTTCAGGCTTTAAGTACAAACTGTAAAAGATTGTTTACATTTTTATTGAGGTGGGGAAAGGACAGAGCAAGGACAGCCAAATGTCATCCTGTCCCATCATGATTCTGTGCTGCCACATGCTAATATCATCAGAGATAAGCAAGCGTAGAGTAATTGCAAAGATAACTTTCAGTTAAGCAAGTTCTAATACTTGTCTGTGGTTTTTAATTGCAGATCTTCTCTGCAGGATGTTGCTGACCTTCATGCCCCCTACTGTTTATCAGCAAAACCATCAAAAACATATTTGACAATATGAAGAAGAATGCATGATTGATTCAGGAGTTACATGCACTAAATACTTGTTTTTTTTTTTGTTTTTTTTACATAATTAAATAACACATTTTTGTGATATAAAAGAACCACTGTTGAACTGAACAATACGCCTCTCCCCAAATGTGTTAATTAGCTAAGTAATATAACAGATTTGCCTTTTTTAATGTTATATTTTTAAAATTTTTGCTGATAATCACACCTTAAAATCTGGATGCTGATTACTAATGGAATATATATATTTTTTTTATCAAATAGTTGGCATTGGGTTTTTTCATGTTTTCAAAGTAACACCTACAATAAGTGTAAGAGTGTTAGCTCTATGGTGTTGAATATGCTAACCAGCAATAATATACAGTTTAAAAATACAGAAGGTAGACAAGGTGAATGTCAAATGGCACAATAGAAGCATTCTGCACCATTTTAATCATCACAGTGACTACATTATTGAAATGTAGATTACGAAACACTTAGAGCTTCTGGCTCAATGCATTTTAAGTGATACATAACCTTTGTATGTATAGCAATGCTTCTGCTTCTCAAAACAAACATGCACAACTCAGGAGGGTCCTTGTAACAGCTTCATCACTTCATGCATGTGTTGCCAGTCATTAATATTTTCATATAGCATCTCCACTAGCATCCGACGAAAAAGATACACTGTAAAAGAAACAAAAAAGCAGAGGGAAAATAAAAAAACAAAGAAGATTTCAGTTCATTTTATTTTGTTTTTTAAAATTAACAAACAATATAAAATAAGACAATAACAAAAATAAAAACAATGCCCGATCCATATTCAGACCATGTGCATAGTCATGGCTACACACAGTGTTAGAGTCAGAATAACAGTAGAGATGTACTTCTAGATGATGAATTTTCAGTCAAAGAAAAAAGTAAACACCAGTGCAGATGCTTTATTTAAATAACAACATAACATTTTTGGCATCAGTGTGGTTGATGAAAGAGGCTTTTGAGGAGTTATAGCCTTGGTCCTTACAGTGAAGGAAGGGCAAAGCAGTAATTAAAGTACAGCAAAGAGGTACAACAGGTAAGTCATTTTTATTTTTTACGCTGATCGCTGAAGAGCCTGTGAATGCATGCTTACTACTCTAAATGCTTTATTGATGTCAGAAGGAAAAGCTACATAACAACTAAACTGAAACTAAAACATCTCTCATATTTTCCCATGAATTAACCCATTAATTAATTAAAAGGGAAATGTCTAGCTGTACTGTAAGCATCAAACTGCCATATTCTGTACAACCAGTATGAATCCTAATATATACTGAAATCACAGCAATTGTAAACAAACAAACAATCAAACAGAAAACATAGCTATGCAATTTTAACAGAAAAATGGTTTGTGTTTGTTTGTTTTACATAAAAAGAGGAAACTATGTCCTAATGAAATTTTGTCCTTGTTTCATGACATATCAGTTCTGATACGGTATCTTTTAATGCCATCCAATACGTGTTGAATTAACACAACTGAGGCTCTAATGTGTTTAGTTTTTATCTTTTGAGAAACATGCATATCTATGTGCCTTTGGAGTTGGGTTTACACAAGTGGGTCAGACACGGGCTTGGGCCGTCCCACTTTGAGGCACAACATTGTGTTGTAAAAAAGGTATTGTATACTGAGAGCAGACACAAGTTTCAAAATAGCTAAGTGGAATTTGATTTGAGGTGCGCTCTCCCACCTCCAGGTCTGAGAAAACCACAGTGTATGTTTGTGCATCTGAATCCTCTCCCCTTCAACTTGTCTGGGCTTTGATTTCTTGACACATTCCCTCGCCACTTTTTTGCTTCAGTGCTCCATGCACTGTGTTGTCTCTCATCTTCTTGTATCCATCTCCTATCTCATCCCACATGTGCTTCCAGGCAACGCAAGGCTCACCGCCTGCTTCCCATAAAGATAACATTGCTGAGTTAAACAGATGGGGTATAAATGTTCTCTCAGTGATAAGTTTTGGCTTAGATACACTAAGAGATAGAAAAGATTATTCACAGAATTTTGAATTTTCAACAAAAATATGAAATCTTCAGTAGAGCTGAGGATTTGGACATGCGCACAATGCATGTAAGACATGTTTCTTGTGACTGTTTTCATCACAAAAGCAAGCCTGCATTCCTACAGAAATGTGTTTATCATCAAGAATGTGACTAATATCAGTATCTACATAACTGTGGTTAGTGTTTTACCAGTGTAGCTGTTTACGTCAGTTTGACATTAGATCAAGGAAGGAAATTTCTCACAGTGGATGTTTTCTGTCATACAAGATACTGAAGTAAAGAATACATCTTGTAGCTTATAACATTTCTATACTGTATAACAAAAACTAAAGGACTGTGAGAATAAATCCCATGTGTTATGATCCTAAAACACTCTATTCCCATGACACCAGATCCACCTTGCACATTGTTTTTCTGAAACACTGTCAACCCGCAATTGACCAAAAAACAACAGTGGGTATAGTTTAGTTCATTTTGAGATTTGAGTGAGCTTATATGAAAAATGAGTTTTCCTAATATACACATTTGCAGACTGTGGTTCAGTGGGTAGAGCAGTTGTCTCCCAACCAGAGGTTCGAATCTGCTGGTGGTTAGAGCCTTCGTTGTGACTTGGCTGCCTTGGTTCTGTACCGGACACAAAATCCTTGTGTGTGCAACATACTTGGCCAAATAGAGTGATTATTATTATTATATACTATATTAGATTGTCATAGTGGTCTGGTATAGACTGGTTTGTGAGAAGTTCATTGTGGGTAAAAGCCACATGACCCAGCTGTCCTTTTTCTAAATCTCTGCTGTGGTGGCATTTTTATTCCATTCTGGTGGCTGCAACTTGATTCTAAGTGTTACTGAACTCCCTGTCAAACATTGTGTGTTGATAAATCTCCTAGTTATGCTTAAATCAATATAGGGAGC